CCCCCCCCCCCCCCCCTCAGGCCTCCGTTGCTATCCCACCCGCTACCGGGAAACAGAAGGAAATCGCACTCAACACACTTGTGTGTTGGTGCCTTTCCTTCTGTTTCTCCTAGCTATTGCTAGCTACCCGGGCGGTTTAAGACGAATGTCCCGCTCGCCTTCTACTTTCGTTTAACTAAGTGGGCCTCGTAACTACCCTACTTTTCTTTCTTGCCCTCTTAGTCTGCTCTTGTTTCGTCGCTTTTTCTGTCTTTCTAAGGCTTTTTAGGTGTCTACTAGTTCTTCGTTGCGCCAACAATTTGGCGCTTTTTGTACAAATGTTCCCCTGGGAGTTAGGACGCTACTGGAGGCCCCTGGCCTTACTACTACTTTGACCGCGCCGAAAACGGCTCTGTGTGTGTGTGTCCACCCCTGGGCAAAAGGTTTTCGTCCACTGGTTCAACGGTAGGGGGTGTCTGGAAAAAAGCGCCGAAGCCGGCGACTTGTGTGTGTCCACCCCTGGACAAAGGGTTTTCCACCACCACTTTTCGCAAGCAGGGGGCCACAGCTCCTTTCATCAGTCTGTGGCCAACGAAGCTACTGATGATTGGAGAGGATATGAACCTGGGACGCCAGGTTCACGTACCTGCTTTCAACACAATGACTCCACTGGTCCACCCTGCTGCTGTTTCGTTGGTTCCATGGTTTTCTCATGATAGACCCCAAAACCTTCCCCCACCGCAGATGTGCAGCCGCGCTGATCGCTCGACACCGCTGCTCTTGTGAACTGCAGATGTGCGAAAACCATTTGTTCAAACATCTACAATTGCGCTGACTTTCCACCTTACCGTTGAGCCATTCCTTTCCTCGGGAGATCGCATTAACTGAAATTCCAAGTTCGAAGTGTGTGTGGTTGCGCTCAGGGAACAAGCTTTTATTTTGCATAGCAAGCTATTATATATATAATATTTATAGTACCCCCCCAAAAAAAAATAACACCCAAATTCGTGTTTCAATTGCATATTTGGGGCACATTTTTTTAGTAAAAGATAAAGGTTTTGTGAATATACATTGAATCCTGACAGTTTTGGAATTTTTGGAAATTATGGAAATCTCACTTTCCATAATTTCCATACTTTCTATAAGTTTCAGGACCATTGAGACCCCCCAGAGGGTCCTGAAATTTATGGAAATTATGGAAATTGTTGTTTTCAAAAACTTCCAAAGCCATCAGGACTATGGAGACCTTCCCTGTGGTGTGTAAAGCTTTGGATTTTCATGGAAGGGTCGAGGGGGCTATGGGGGGGGCTATTGCCCTTATGCTTTGGCAGCTGTTTGCTGGCTGAAGTGATCCATTGGTATTAAAGTTGTAATAGCTGTGGTTAAGCCTTTAATAGAGTCTTCACCAGGCCTATTAAGGCTTTAATAGAAGCTTATGGATAAGGCCCTATTAGAGCCTTAATAGCTTTGGTTAGCCTTCTGATAGTAGTGAATCACCCCCTCCGCCAGAAATACATTTACCAGGGTGGGATCATTGTGGTGACTTTTTTGTAGCTTTGTTTTGGCGCATGCAATAGGCCAATGGGGCTCAAACTTACATTTTGGGGGCCACCTGGGGGCTGGATTCTGGCTTATCAGAGGCTTAATCAGGGCTTATCCAAAAATCATCCTGCCCTGCTGATTCCCCCTATTCCAGTGCTTATCCAGAGGGTCCAAAAACTGCTCTTTTGGGGTGCAAATGGTTTGTGTTAGTGGTTTTGAAGCTTTTGTGCCATGGCCACAATGTCACAAAACACGTGGACAATAAAACAAAGGGGCACTATTTGTGCAAAAATGCATTAACATTATAAAATTGGTAATACACCCATGCTCACTTATCAAGGCCCTAAGCATAAGGCCAAGAGCCCCCCCCAACAACCCCCCCTACCCTTCCATGAGATGTATTAGATTTTCATTAGATTCAATTATATTCATTACTGTTCCACAAGCCGTTTCTCATCATACAATTAATTAAACTAAATTAAATAAGTAAAGTAGTCTCCATACGCAATAAGGTAGGCTCACTGCGTGTATTTACTAAATTTATTGTTCATTTGTTTTCTTATCACAGACTGCAAAAACCAAAAACACAAAACAACTGTGTCCCCCCAAAAAAACTCAATGAAAACAAAAAAACATCTTTCAGGCTGAAACCAAAGATTCTCCTCAGAGTTGTGTTTTTTGTTTTTTTGGGTGTTTTTTTTGTGGGGATTTGGCACTAATTTCGACTTACTACTATCACCGCAGCTTTTTCCAAGCTCATAGTCATAGTTTTCCTTTTTTCTGCACGCGATGGTCCGCTAGCAATTTAATGTTTAAACTATTCAAAATATTGAATTCAAGAGGGCTGCCAATTCGAGGAATCAATTTATTAATATCTAAAACATTCAAAACATTTAAAACAGTGAGCCCAATGTTTATTAGATTTTGTAAATGTTTAGCCTGTTAAAGAATTTATACTATTTCAAATATTGAATTAAACTTGTATTGAATGGTTTTAATAGTTTAAATATGTTACCTATTAAAAAAATAAGTATTCAACTAAATGTTTAAATGTTAGAAATATTAGATTGATTCCTTGAATTGGCAACCCCTTTGAATTCAGTAGTCTAAATATTATACTTATTTTTTAATAGGCGAAATATGTCAAATATCTAACACACTAAATTCAAATGTAATTAAATATTTTGAATATTTCTTAATAGGATGAATATGTCAAATATTCAAAATAAGCAATTTAGTATAAAACATTAAAAACTAAGAAACTAATAGCCATTTAAATTCAATATTTAGTTATTTTAATGTCTCAAATATTGAATTGATTTCTTGAATTGGCAACCCCTTTGTGAGCTCAATATATGTTTGTTTTTTTAATATGCAAAACATGTAGTATATTTAACACATTAAGTTCAATTTGAATTAAAAGTATTGAGCTAAATGTTTTAACTCTTTGAGATATAGATTGATTCCTGTAATTGGCAACCCCTTTGAATTCAGTAGGTTTAATATTCTAGTTAGTTTTCAATATGCGAAACATGTAAAATATCTAACACACTAAATTCAAGTTTAGTCAAATATTTTGAATAATTTGAATCAGATGTAATATGATGAATATTTAAAAAATATAAAACTTGAATTTAAGAGGGTTGCCAATTCTAGGAATCAATTTAGTAGAAGACAGTTAAAACTTTTAAGAACTAATAACAATCTTAGTTCAATATTTTGGATATTTAAATGTCTTAAATATTGAATTGATTTCTGGAAGTTGCAACTCCATTGTGAGCTCAAAAGTTTAAATGTAGTTTTTTAATAGGCAAACCACATATACTGTATATTGAACACATTAAATTCAATTTGATTTAGATATTTTAAATATTTTGAACATTTTATAATGGGCGGAATATTTAGAATATTAAATTCAAGAGGGTTGCCAATTCCAGGAATCAATAGAATATTTGAAACACTTCAAACACTTAAAACATTAGATTCAATTTTACTTCAATATCTTAGGTGTCTTAAATATTCTGCCTATTAAACAGTATCTAGAATATTAAGTTGATTGAATGAAAATTGAAATTTATGGTTTAGATATTTTAAATAGTTCGCCTATTAAAAGTTTGTTAACATATTTCAAATATTGAATTAGTATTTATTGTAAGGTTTTATATGTTTGAAATATTAAACTGATTACTTGACTTGGCAACCCCTTTGAGTTCAATATGTTTAACAGTCGTTTATATATTGTTAATAGGCGAAATATTGCAACTATTTAAACCATTATATAAATTCAATCTTAATTCGAAACAAAGAATAGTTTGAATGTTTTTTTAAAGGTGACATGTTTAGAATATGTTCTAAAACCATGGAACTCAAGAGGGTTGCAATTTTTTAGGGATCAATTTAATATTAACTATGTATTAATATTAAAAGAACATACAACATTAAGTTAAATTGTGTTTCAATAAAACTTTCAATATTTTGAATATTCATAAAATATTCTGAAAATATTCAACATATTGAACTAATTTTAAGTTGAATGTTTCAAATACTGTAAATTGTTTGCCTATTAATTGTTTAGTGCTTCTGTTGTATCTGCGCGCAGTAATATCAATGTTTGAATGATTGCGTCCAAGGCTAAGGTTTTTTTTTGTAGCATATATATATATATATAAGTCTATTAAGTTATAGAAATCAGTATATATATATATACTTAGCAATCTTGGGTCGGATTGGTATCCGCTGGTAGCGATGATCAACTGCCCAGCTGAGCGCAAGGTGAGATTTCTTGCTGATCGGCAAATCAGGGCCGCCATTAGTGCCAATGCTGCTAGTGGCATTGGCACCTGAGTTTGGCCTTGCGGGGATTGACTGGCAAGCTTAAATCACACTGCGTTTTCTATCAGATGAAGTTGAAGCCACGCAAAATTCAGGTTAAAAGCTTAACGTTCATGGCCATGGGCTTTTCATCTCATGACTGCGCAATATGCGTGGACTGGCAGACAAAATAACTAGCTGCGCTTTTTGACAGCACAGTTGCTGATTTGCACGTTTCAACCATGTCACCGCTGAGTGGCTCAACCCCTTTTTTTTGCGAATCTGCACGAAACCTTCGAGGTTTGCGGTGATGCTTCACACGGCAACGAAAGTGGAACAAGTGGGATCTTCAAGCTTTCCAGTGCTGCCCCTATGTTTTCTGTTCTCCAATACAGATAAAGCATGTTGGTGGAAGTTTCCACTACACCTTGCCTTCGGAGCAAAGAATGTGTTTTCTTGCATTTGAAAAGCGTGAGTGAGTCTTTGAATGAGGTTCACTCCAAATGGCACCACGTGGAGATAGTGACGACTTGCTCGAATGTCTTGATATGTTTTGCATCGACGCATTTGCTAAGCAAAAGCGCTTTGGGTGTTTTGTCCAGCGCAGCGCCAGGTGCGTGACCGGCGGCAAAGATGTGGCAGGGCACAGAGTCCAACAAATCGACAGTGCACTGTCATTCTCACTTTCAATGCACCAGGTCGTTGCAGATTTTCCAATGTATCGGCTTTTTCGCGCCACAACGTGCAGAGCTAACATTTCCAGACCTTCAGTTTGGTTGCATTCTATGTTTAATCAATGTCAGTTTGGTCATGTTATATATATATAAGTAGAATCAAATAGACAGTGGCACCGAAATTGCTGCCTAGTCCGCTTCCAATTCTGCACAATGTTTGTGAAGATGTGAAATGGGAGGCTTGCTCTGCATAACTACGCTGTCAATCTCGTGCTTTGCATGTGAATATCACTGTCATTGGCTATGATGCATTCTAATGACTCTAATGCCAGCTTGCTATAGTCTGTTCATGCTTGTTCATAAATGTCAATCAGACCTGCGTAGGGCATCGATTTTCGCCTTCGCAAATACGAGCAGTTCTTCCGCGAGCATGATTCTCAGACTCAGACAGACAATGTGAATTTGGAGTTTGTTGCTGTTCTCGGAACCGATATATATATATATATATGCTACAACCCACAAAAAAACTACCTTTTACATAGACAATTTAACTGGTATTTGCAATGGTTTGGTGAGATTTCAGAGCACAAATTGAACAGCCCATTTTTGATCATATTGTGGTCTTCGTACGTGATTGTGATCACATGAGAAGAACAACATGCGCAGATGTAACCATATTCAGAATGTTTCTTGCTATGTTTTACTGCTTGTTTCTGGATGGACAATGAAAGGATGACGTTGAATTTGCAAAATTTGTCGCCATGCTAGATCTTTTTGTTGAGAGAACATTTCAAAGACAGCAGGGCGCACTATGCTGCAAGCAAGGTAGTGGTTTCTTTTGACCGATGCTGGAGCATGTAGCAGATGTTACAAGCTCACAACAGTTATCCTCGTGAGCAATGGTGCAATATGTGATATGTGTTACATGGTTAGGATGCCGGTGATATCCCACAAGCCTATGTTTCCGGAGCTGCTACAAACAACCAACAGTTCAGCAAACCCACAAACAAAAAGCAAAAGGTTTTTTTGGCACTGCGCTCGGGCTCACGGAGGATGCTGTTGGAAGGATGCAAGCAGACAATAAATGCTGCTGCCAAGAAAGACCATGAGCGCACGTGTTCATCTGCGAATCCCTGTGCTCAGTCAGAGTCAGCACCCATCAGCTCAGAAGAGGAGGAGCCATCAGATGCCATAGGTGCCATCAAGGAGCCATCAGATGCCAAAGGTGTCATCGATGCATCGCTGTTGCCTCCAACGATCTCTTCGTGGTTGCCTTGGAGCTGCTGTCGCAAGAGTGCATTCTCTGCGCTCAGGCTGGTACTGGTCTCAAACTGCTCCTTGACTTGCTCCTTGGCCTTCTCGAGCTCGGCTGATGTGTGGCAAAGAGCGGTGAAAATGCTCTCGAATTTGGACTTCAGGGCTTTGGCCTCGGCCTGACTCGGGGCCAATGTGAAGGTGGCCTTGCCTTGACCAGTGTACGTGCTACATGCATTTGTACGCGTACATTGCTCAAACCGAGAAACCAAGATTGCGCACAACTCTTGTCAGGAATCTTGGCTTGATGCAGCCAATGTGGATGACCTCCTGGGTCTCAAAGGATGCGCCCCAAACCAAGATTCACTTTCATAGGTCTGTGCAATCTTGGTTCTTGGCTTCTTGGTTTGACCACTGTACGCGTACAAATGCGTTTGTACGCGTACCTTTCTGAAACCAATGACGTGCAGTCAGCATCTCAACATTCAACATCATGCAATAAGACGTGACACAAGTACATTTATACATCTACGTATATATATATATATATGAGTTAATTGGTACTCCCGTTTCAATTGTAGCTGATAGATTATCATCCCCGACCTTTTGGGGGGGGGGGTGTACCATGTATATATAATATTCTATACTACCCCGCCAAGACATTTTTGGTGGCTTACAAGGCATATTGCGAAGCAGCATTTTGCAGTAGCGCCTGAACATTGGATAGCCCTAAAAGGTAATTTACCTGCGTTGTTGTGTTTATGTGTTTTAGTCCTTATGTGTGGTCTCCATTGATAAGGCCAAATTTGAGAACATTTACAGTATATACAAGCGATACAGCTATAAAATGTGCGTCCCTCTTTGTCCACATATTTACTGTTTGGTTCATCTTCATTTTCCAACTCTTCTGGGTGAATTTGTTTTCTGACATTCTCTTGATGAACGGTTCCTTTTCGTCTTGGGATTCTTTACGCCACTGGACATCATGTTCACATAACGGGCAGTAATATCTGTTTTTCTGGCGCCTTTGCTTTTGCTCTTTCATTCCTTTTCCCTTTTCAGGGTTGCGTTCCTTCCATTCTTTCCTTTTAATTTGCGGTATTTTGTAATTTATTTTCTTGTTTGTTTGGCTCTACAACAGTCGCAGGTTTTAAACCCTTTAGTAGTATCCATTGCCTAGTATATATACCCACTAGTTCTTCGAAATTTTATAACACCCTTTTTACATGTTGAAAATCGTTTAAAAGTACTATTGCATCTACGACAGTAAGCAGCGCTGTTGGTATACTGCCATTTACAGTATCTTCTTTCAACCCACATCCACAGTAATTACATTGATTGGTTTTATTACACAAAAACGGTTGAGCATGAATATAACCTTCCTTCGGTATGTCTCTTTTGCCCTTTCTATCCGGTATTTTATATTGTTCAACTCGCCTATTACAATAGCTTGTGATACCGTGTTTATTAGATTCAATTTCAGTATCATCTCCGCCAAAACCGCTTCTTAAATCCGGCTCGTGTGAAAGCCGCCCACAGCCACTCCCTATAATTTCTTATCATATTTCCTATTTTCTAGTTGCCTAATGTCACTAAATACCTTTTTCCAGGTGTTATTCAGAGAGGGAAAGTTCTAACGTTATACTTAGAACAACTGATGTCAGTTGTTTCTGAAACATATTTCTCAACAAGTATTGTAAATGAAAAGCTTTTAAGAAAATGTCATAGTTCAATTCATATATTCTGGTTCTTTCATCTTCTTCTTTACTTCTGACTGACGCCCCGAACTCCAACGTTCGAGGGCTTGGATTTTTCCCCCTAAAATTTGCAGTTTTAATGTTTTCACTTCTTCTGGGTTCAAGATTCAAGCTTCTGGGGAAAAGTTCTTGAATGCAAGCCCTGACTGATATCCAGAACCTCAACATTCGAGGGCTTAGACGCAAGAACATTTTCCTAGAATCTTGAATCTTGGATCCAGAAAAGATTGTACACTTTGCAAACTTTCTAATTCAACGTGTGCCTGCACACCTTTTGGGTTTCGACGTGTGTGTATGCAGTATGCATATATATATATATATATGTGTGTATAATCTGGCGTCCCCGCAATCCATCTAAAACTTCGACCAAAAAAACGGACGAAAACTATGACCTCAAAATGTGTTGAATTCCTTGTAAATACCGCTGAAAAGTGTAAAAAGGCAGGTCTTGAGGGGTTTGGTAATCTATCAGATAATTGAAAGGGGAGTACCATATATAGACATGTATAAATGTACTTGTGCCATGTCTTATTGCATGATGTTGAATGTTGAGATGCTGACTGCGCGTCATTGGTTTCAGAAAGGTACGCGTGCAAACGCATTTGTACGCGTACAGTGGTCAAACCAAGAAGCCAAGATTGCGCAGACCTATGAAAGTGAATCTTGGTTTGGGGTGTGTCCTTTGAGACCCAGGAGGTCATCCACATGGGCCGCATCAAACTAAGATTCCTGACAAGAGTTGTGTGCAATTTTGGTTTCTCGGTTTGAGCAATGCGCGCGTACAAATAGCACGTGCACTGATACAGAAAAAACCACCGAAAGATGATATCTGGTTGTCTGATGTAGTCTGCAGTTCAACAATTCAAATCTAGAACGTCGCTCACCCTTCATCCTGACACGGCGTCTTCCTCGGGCAGCTTCCCAGTGCGCATGGAACAGTCTCTGTCAAAGACGGCAAGGCCACTCTCACATTGGCCCCGAGTCAGGCCTATGTCAGAGTCAGGCCGAGGGCGTGAAAGTGACAATGACGCGGCAAAGCTCAACAAGCCTCCTGGAGCGCTTCGAAGATGGTGTTCTGCATGTCCACGCTTCCAGACTACCACTTACGAAAACCAGCCTTACCAACGTGATGGGCACTATCCAACGTCAACGTCAACTTCTGCCCAACCTGTGGCAAACGGAGTGTGGGACCAAGAGTGCCAAGATCGTCTCGAAGCACTAAGGTACTAGCCGCTAGCCATCGAGGACAAAAGGAAAGTGCGTTCCAAGAAGCCCCTTCTGACTCAGACTCGTCTTCGTCCTCGTCGCCCGACAGCCAGGCTGCAAAGGAGTTACAGATTGCCAAACGCCAGCTCGAGGAGAAGAGGGCAGAGGCCAAAGCCCTGAAGTCCGACCGCTCTTTGCCACACATCACCCGAGCTCGAGAAGGCCAAGGAGCAGGTCAAGGAGCAAAGTCAGACCATTACCAGCCTGAGCGCAGAGAATGCGCTCTTGCGACAGCAGCTCCAAGGCAACCGCGAAGAGATCGTTGAAGGCAAAGAAGAGAGCATTTTCACATCTCTTCGCCGCACATCAGCCGAGCTCGAGAAGGCCAAGGAGCAAGTCAAGGAGCAGTTTGAGACCAGTACCAGCCTGAGCGCAGAGAATGCACTCTTGCGACAGCAGCTCCAAGGCAACCACGAAGAGATCGTTGGAGGCAACAGCGATGCATCGATGACACCTTTGGCGTCTGATGGCTCCTTGATGGCACCTATGACATCTGATGGCCCCTTTTTTCTGAGCTGATGGGATCTGACTCTGGCTGAGCACAGAGATTCGCAGATGAACACACGCGCTCATGGTTTTGATTGGCAGATATTGGCAGCAGCATTTATGTCTGCTTGCGTCCTTCCAACAGCATCCTTCGTGAGCCTGAGTGCAGTGCCAAACTGCCTTTTCCTTTTTGTTTGTGGGTTTGCTGAACTGTTGGTTGTTTGTAGCAGCTCCGGAAACATAGGCTTGTGGGATAGCACCGGCATCCTAACCATGCGAGACATATTGCACCATTGCTCACGAGGATCGCTGTTTTGAACTTGTAACATCTGCTACGCTGCTACATGCTCCAGCATTGGCCAAGAAGCCACTACCTTGCTTGCAGCATAGTGCGCCCTGCTGTCTTTGAAATGTTCTCTCAACAAAAAGATCTAGCATGGCGACAAATTTGCAAATTCAACGTCTTCCTTTCATTGTCCATCCAGAAACAAGCAGTCAAACTTAGCAAGAAACATTCTGAATATGGTTACATCTGCGCATGTTGTTCTTCTCATGTGATCACAATCACGTACAAAGACCACTATATGGTCAAAAAGGTGCTGTTCAGTTTGTGCTCTGAAATCTCACCAAATCATGGCAAGCACCAGCGAAAGTGTCTAAAGGGTAGGATTTGGGGATGCACACATATATATATATATATACTATTTTTTGGGACTGACATATATATATATATATGCTTCAGTAGGAATAGACTATTTTTCTTACCGCACCTTGCCACATCTATGTGGATTAGCCGCGGTCGAATTGAGAAGTCCATTTCACGTGGCCACTGTGGGACAGGCAATTATCACCTGCTCTTAAATTTTTAGCATTTACACGGCTTCGGAGGAAGGCAACTCGACCGTGTCAAGCGAAAGTAAGGACTTGCAGGGTTCTACGGGGAAAGGGTTTTTGTTTAGAGCCGTCAAGAAGAACAATTTTTGTCCTAGTGATGTATTCCAAGTCATTTTTTGCAGCAGATTCAAACGCATAATGCATTGATTTGTGCACGTTTGCTGCCTGAGGCTTGTGCGTGCAAACAGCCGAAAGGCGATGGGTAAAGTTTCCTCTTAATGTCTATTCAAGAACGCCATCACCATTGATGTCGACTGCTGGCTGGAGGACATCCTTTACATGGTAGTGGATGGCCTGGATGTGTTCTTCAACGACGTCAGCCAGGTTTGTTCATCCACAGCAACCGCAAGATTTTCATCAAGATGCAATAGGTTCTTGTCCTTCAAGGTTGCAAGCCCTCGAACACCGACCGAGGCTGTCGAAGTCCCTGGGATCCTTGCGGATCCTTAGCCACACTTTTGAACTTGGACGGCTTGAGTCCCCAGGTTGCCAAAGAAGACCTTGCTGGTGTGACAGGACGGCTTATTGCTGAGCGGTATGAGGCGCCAAAATCACAGACTCACTAGCTGAATAACTTTACTTTGCTGATAGGCTCTTGCAAGTGGCCCAGCTCCTCGTGCAATCATCATGTCCACAGAGCGTTGAGCTCAGTGCTGTCACAGCGATTGATCGCCTACCTCAAGTACCCAAAGAGACCTGTTGGATGACTATCCAACTTCCATCGAATTCCCTACGTATCCTCTTTCTAGTTGGTTGAATCCGATTGGGCAGGCGACTTTGCGGCTGGGGTGGTGCCAAGTTCTGCTCCATAGAGGCAATGCTTTGGCTGGTTTTCTTTGCACCGGCTTGATGAAGCTCGAAATTGTCCAGAAGTCAAGGACGAAGCCAGATACCCGGAGGCCACATGCTCAAGTGAAGATTCTCACTTCGGGTGGCTCCTTCGCTGATTTTTTTAAAAAGCTCATCACTCATGCACAAAGAGGCTCCTACTGACTCCAAATACCTCAATGCTGGAGGATACATTGGGCCTGCAGAGGCCAATGAGTAATTACTGGCATGTTCTTTCCTCCAAACACTTCCCTACGCTTTCAGCCAGGCTTTGCAGGACATGATCTCTGCTGTGCTGCGTATGAAGAGTACCCGACTCAGCGCGAAGCTTCCGCCAAAGCTCTACAGGGCTGGGCGAGAGCTACAGCACTTCAATCAGAGTCTTACAGCAAGGCACAGCGACTGGAGAGCACCGCCAGAAAGGTCAGCTGTCAGACCAGTGCGCCTGATCCACCCGATTGTTGTGATTCCTTTTGCTGTCTAAACTAGACGTAAAGCCCGCGCCTTGACTCAACTTCCTGTCACTTCCTTTTGCTGTAGGTATTTCTTCAAGTTGTACTTCTGGGACCACCAGGATTCCTTTCAGCAATGCTGAGCCACTCAGCAAGCAAAGTGCTTCCTTGAGGACAAAATCGCCTTGGACTACCACCAGTTGATCTTTGGGACTGCAGAGCTTCCGCCGAGACATGCTGCAGTGGTGTTCTTGTTTGAGCCTTGTGCAAGAAAGTTGCAGGAATTTTCTTGAGATTGCCAACCGACCATGTGAGAGTGACTGGGCTCCTGTGTGTGCTGTGGCAGACTTACTGCATCATCTTGCCTATTGGCTCAGTGAAGAATTCCATACCAGTGCAATCAGGATATTTATACTACTTTATACTTACACCTTAAGATACCTCAAGCATTTTGAGGTCAAGCCTTGCTGCACCGAGAGCGACAACTTTCGAAGGCCAACAGCCCAGAGAGTAAGGTCCTCTGAGAATCCGTGCCTGTGTGCCTGGTTGACAAGGTGTGCCTGGGTGGGGGGTTGCCCGGGCAGGAGGTAATGTGCCGGTATGCCTGGGAAATACCGTTTTGATATATTATATATATAATCATCCTGGAGTAGATAGAATGGACGAATTTTCAAAAAACAATCCACTCCTCAAAGCCGGCCCTTCCAAACCCCATAGATAGAATATGGTTGTATGGGTTTCTCTTCCTTTTCCTTTGTTGTCCTTTTCCTTCTCTGTTCGTTCTATTTTCTGTTCGTTCTAAAGAAAAGAAAAGAAAAAGGAAAAGCTTAGATAATATACACATAGGAACAGAACATGAAAATAACAAAGGAGCAAATACCGGAATGGGAGGAGTTGATAAGAATCTTATCACTATATTCTATCTATAGGGTTAGTCTTCATAAAATGAAAGGGATTTCAAGAACCCTGAGTTTTTTCAAAAAGAAAAAACACTCCCTACGAAAGTAGATTCTATCTACTCCAGGATTATTATATATGTATGTGTGTGTTTTGATGGATGTGTGTGTGTGTGCCAACATCACCACCACCATCATGACTAGATTAATACAGTTTTCATCACCTTCCTAGTCATCACCGTCATTTTCGACAACATCACCACGAGACTATGTTTAGAGGCTTTCTCATCACAGGAAATGCCTGGGATAATCCAAAGGTTGGCGTGGCTAACCGAAGCAGAAGTGGAATAGGCTGTTCCTCATTGTTTGTGCTGAGTGTACAAGGGGTGGCATACTGTTTGGATTCATTTGCGCGGAAGGTTGGGAATCTCCGTTTTCAATTGACAGCAATAAGGATAATAATGCATACTGCATACAGTACGTTATCAATGATAAAGCCAAGGCATGTGTTCGACGGTCACCCCGACCGCGTCACATCCCTACCATGCTTCGCAGCAGCAGCACCATCATGATTAGCATCCTCATCATTGTTATCGTCAGCCTCCTCCTCATCCTCCTCCTCATCATCATCATCGACAGTGATGGCGACGGCTTTGATGGTGTCGAGGAAAATGATGATATCAATGACGATGATGATAGTGAGCACGATGATTTTGTGATGATGCTGGCCACAATAATTTGAAGCTGAGACTTGCCCCAACACTGAGATTCTCCAGCACATTGTCAAGCCAATGGTCAATTTGAGTGGTTCCTTTTAGGTTGGAGGCCATCGCTATTAGGTTGGAGGCCATCGCTACTAGTAGCAAGAAGCTATTGCAATTGTTATCACAAGTCATCATTGGCGCAGAACTCTTCGTGGCTGTAGCGCAGGAAGGCCTTCGGCAGACTCTGATTTTGAGTAATGAAAGTGATACAAGCGCGGGCTTGCTTGTTGTGCTTGTGCAATGTTGTTGTGCTCAATGTTGTGTTCTATGATATGATTAGCTCCGAAATATTACAGTAAGTTTTGTTTTCCAAAGTCATTTTGGAATTGTCTTGTGGAGGCAAGGTTCTCACCAGGAACTGCGACTGTGGTGTTAAACGTAGAAAAGGGAACTGCTGGGAAGTTTGGACTGTGAGCTCCTTAATTTTCAAGATTTATACATTTCCATCATCTCCTCACAGTCATCATCACCATCATGATCATCATCACCATCATGATCATCATCACCGTCACCTTCAACATACTATCATCATAATCATCATCGTCATCATCTTCCTTATCATCAGCAACATCATCATCGACATTGTGTGTCCGTGTGCACGTGGACTGTGACCATGCCCGTGTCCCCGCAGAACTGAGTGTGCTTGCATGCCTGCGGGGTCGGCGGGATTGTGAAGGGACTGCAGAATCTTTTGCATATTGGAAAGTACCTAGTAGCGTCCTTGCTCCTAGTAGCGATGCCAGGAGCCCCTAGTCGCTTCTTGCTCCTGGTAGTAAGGCCAGGAGCCCCTAGTAGCGTCCTTGTTCCATATTTGAGCGTATTTGAGCTAGATGGCTTTGACTGAATCCGAGCTCAAGGGCCGGACAGTCCCTTAATTACTCCTGATACGCAATAGGTCAGCTTTTAACCACAAACGTTTCATCAATAGGTCAGCACTTTCAAACTTAAAGAGCTTTAACGTGCCCCTCATGTTCCCACTTCTCCCGTCCACCCCAGAAACGCTGCAGAGGTTCCATCAGCTGTTCTTCAGTCGGTACAAGGTGAAAGGGTGTGCCGTGTGGCGAGAGGCAGGGAGAGGGGGAAAGGTCTCTCAGTGGAGATTGGAGCATCACGCACCAATAAGCCATCACTTCGCGAGGATTTCTTTGTGTTAGTATGCTTCAGACAGTTGCGAAAAGTAATGTTTAGAGCCTCCCAGAACAACTTGCCGATCTCCTGGCATGGCAATGGGGCTGGCAAGGCGCCTCGCAGAATTGCTGAAAACAGTATGTATGAAGATGAAAAGACCGAAAAGACAAGAGTCCACTGCCTTCACAGCTGCTTTGCCCGACACGACTGACCAGTGGCTCTACCTTCTGGCCCTCGACCAATTGTCCCTGCGATGCGGCCCTGCTGCCAATGTGACCAGGGTCAGCCAGGCATGTTTGGGCATTCTGTTGAAGCTGCCATAACGTGTTCATGCCGCATGGCATTGTAAATATGTTCTATGACAGATATCTACCCAATAAAACCAAATAAGTGCCTGAGCTATTTTGAGACGTTTTTGCTTTCATAGGCATACGTCGAGGCACTACTGTGGCATCGAATTAAATGTGTTTCTGAGTTCTAAGATTCTAAGGCACAAATGCCAGAGCAGATGATGGCCGAGTCTTTGCAGCTCTAAGAGTGGCGGATTTTGACACTCAAGAAATGAAGGCATGCAAGCATTGGTACATATTGGGTTTGCTCAAAAACTGTATTATATAATACTATATATAATATATATATATATATTGACCAGATTCTTGTTTGTTCTTATGCAGTTTTTGGGTTGGCTTGACTCGCTTGACGCGCGAAGACCTCTCTCTCTCTCTCTCACTCTCTCTCTCTCTCTCACTCAGTACTTGCGGCTTTTCCCACCCTCCAACCATCTTAGTTGCTAGTGTCCAGCAGGGGATGTGCTGATTTGGATGCGATCCGTTTTCATGGAACCACCTTTACACACAGCGACCTGGTTGTGGTTGAGCGCGATGTGCACCGGGGTCCTGCTGGGCAAAGGGTTCGTGGCGGCCTGTCCTAGGTGGCCACCGGTCCGCGGTGAGCCTTCTTCACTATTGACCGTAGGGTGCGGCAGGGTATGTGCCGTGTTGGGCTTGCCTGGCCCTCTAGAGCGCAGCGGGTATTTGTGCAGGGTGGTTCTGCAGTGGTGAGCTTGCTGACTAGCGGGCTTGTGGGCATCAAGTTGACTTGCAGAAGCAGATACTGTAGCGTTGATTGCGCGACTTCGCTTTCTGCTTTGATGGCCAAGATTGAAACGTGCAAGAGGCTCCCTGCGAGAAGGAGGCGAATAGACCTATGACGAGGCCTGTTTCGAAAGGAGGCCGCCGCGGCTGTCGATGTGAGCCAGCTTCGGCTGATCAGCCTTTGTTCCCTGATGCTGAAGCGGCAGACGGAGCCAAGTCTGCGTGGCCTTGTGCTTGCACGCTGAATGGGCCCTAGAAACCTTTGAGCTAAACTCCTTGTAAATTTAATCTTCGGCTACACCTTGCGCATATTCTGGATGACAAAGACTTCAATTTTGACTTGCGCGCGGCAATCACAAATGGTGCGCCAACTGGCACACGTCGACCGGCACGGGCACCTCCTGCTGTTTCGCCTACGCCAGACCTACACGATGAAGAGCCCGCAGAGGAAACCCCATGTGTTTGTGGCCGCAGGGCCAAACCGTCTGCTCGTCAAGAAGGCAAGCCAGTGGTGGCGCCCAGCCTTCATCTATCACTGATCCGGCGTGCGTTACCTTGTGAATCATTTTGGTATTTCCGGCAGCGCATTTTTGTGGTGTTTATATCATGTTATATCGATGACTTCTTGCTCATGCTGCTGCCTTCCGCGTTTCAATTCAGGAGCTAAGGAGCTTGCTGATTGCTTTGATGTGCGTCTTGAATGTTCCTTTGTTGCCGAGGAAACTGCGATTGGGAAACAACCTCGACGCCTCGGTTGGTGCTTGCGCTTGTGCAACGGGTTCTGGGCCGCCGTGACTGAGCCTAAACTGCCGAGCCTGACAAGGTGCATGAATTGTTGGTTGCTGCGCTCGTGCGCGAGCACTTTCTTGGGCTGGTGTTTGCGTCGCCCAAGACCGAAATTTGCAAAGTTTGCTTGACGACTAGCTGACTGCCCAAGATGCCCAGATCAGTGACGTCCAACCGGGGTCTAAACTGGGGCGCCCCGACCTCCCAGCCATGGAGCCGGAAAAAGTATGAGCAGAATCCTTTTACTCGTCGATAGTTTATAGTTTATAGATGTTTATAGTCGTGTTATGTATACAAGTTTCACAATGTCGGGCATCATTCATGGCAATGTAAAGCCAGATGGTGCTTTTGAGCCAGGGCGCACATGGCAAGATCGACACCTGCATTGCATTTGTGCCACCAAGGACCTGTTTGAGAAGTATGACAGCCGGTCCCAGAACGAAGGCGAATCTCGAAGCAGAAGCCTGTTGTGATCCAAATGAATTCCCAAAATCCGAGTGGATTTGAAAGATTAGACCTTAGGTCCTAGGATTGTCCTAGGTCTGAGCCATCCTGGCTCTGGGCCTTGGACATTGTCAGTTGCCCATAAGTGGAGTATTGGAATATATTGGAATAAACATTTAAGGAATAACATGTTCATACATGTTCAGCTACTGAGCTACGGTAGTCAAGTAGTGCCACACCGACATTTGAAGCAAACATTGCACTCAGGCAGCAACTGGCCTGGAGGTTTCCTCACAAGTGTCAGCAGTCACTTCATCGAGGAGAACTATCCATCTCTTGGGAACAAGTCTTTGGGTTTCGATTGAGTAGTCACGTAAGATGAGAAAAGGGTCCATTGGTTGTTTTGTTTTATCAATTTTCCTTTTTTGATGTTTCCGTAGATTTTGCGACTTTGGCAGTACACAGGAGTCAGGTGGGAGTGAGCTTCCGGCCGAATGTAGCTGAGGGTTGGCAGCCCGAGTCGCAAACGTTGCTGCGCATTGATGGAATGAAAGGCTGTGAAGGCTGTGAAGCGATGAAAGAAGAACTGCTCGCAAAACTCAAGTGCTCGAACCAAAAGCAAATTTAATCAAACACAGTGTCCCGTCTATACAAATTTCGGCTCGAGCTTTGGGTCATGGTGAGGATTGGCTGCGTGTCCTTGCGCTGCAAGGAATAAGCAGGTTCATTCTTCAAAGGGCATGGGAGTTGTTCTTTTTCCCCAAAAGTGCTAGGCAATGGCGGTGCTTGCCATTGAAGGGCACAAGAAGCTTGAAGCTGCACAGCAGGAATTAAGATGCATTATGTGAATCCAAGGGACTCAGAGGAAAGTGCGATCACTTGCACTGAAATTGTAAACCATCAACGATCGAACGGGCTCCATGTCAAGTTCTGCAGGAGCTTTATGATGCATTCAGTGCCTGTTTTAAGACTGTCCCTTGGCTGCACTTGAAGTTCTTGGTTGATCTATTGGGTTCACGCAACGATAGTAGTCAGGTTAACGGAAGAAGTGTGGACACATGGCAGCCACATGAGACAATTATGCTTTGTGCGGGAGCCTGGTGCTTCAGCAAAACTATTTGGACACTTGAGACTGCAGACACGAGGCAATGACACAACATTCTTCGATCTAGCAGGCCACACTCGTGTTGATCGATTCTGCGTCATACAGACTGCAATGTTGCGCACATACTCCGAAGCTTGCGGTGTTTTGGTTGGAATTGAACACCTCAAACGTCGCTTCTTTTGTGGCTCGCACAAAATATTCCTGGCATCGCAGAAGCGCTGCGAGCAGAGATTGCGACACTGACTGGTGAGACCTTGACTCCCGTCACGGATGTGGTCAGTGATGCTCCCAAGAAGATGGTGAGAAGGGACAGAGCATGTAGTAATGGGCGTGCAAAAGCAAGACGATCGAATGAATGAGAGAGAATGCTTCCCCTCCAATGATTATCATTGTATCCTTTGTCGAGTCAATGTGCAAAAGCTGTTTGTCCGAGGCATTGCGGCTTTGGCCAAAGCCAGAGAATTGCATTTGGAGGTGTGAGACTCGCACGATGCGGTCCCACATTCCTACTTAATTAAGTAGGCGCCTACTTAATTCAGTAAGGGAGTAAGCTACTAGGCTAAGTTAGCTTCTAGGTAGGACGCAGGATATCGCTCGCACAGATAAACATGAAGAAAGGAACACAAGATGTTTGTTCAAAACAAGAACTTACCTATTACTTCTTGCGACATCTTGCGACTAATTGCCTGCTCCCACTCTTCAGGGAGACTTGACGACCGAGAACTTGGTGCAGGGCCAATTTGCTAAAGATTCCTTGTGAGGCAGCAAGTTTACCTGGGCTGCTCCGCCTTCGTTGCCTAGGCAGAGACAGTCTTCCGAACTCAACTTCTTGGAGAGCTTCTGGTGGATTTGCAGGCTGCTTGACTGCATTTGGGCGAAGCTGAAAACCAACATGCCTTGCTTTACCAAGATTATGTTTGCATCCTGTTGGCGAATTGGCAATACGGCAGTACCCTACAAAAGTCATCATGAATGAGGGCCTTAGTCTGCCAGCGCACCCTTAAATTGTGTCACCCAGTTCTTCAGCATGCTTTGGAAGGCCTGCCGGCTAATGGCCAAGAAGTACTGCTGCACAGATTTGCGCTTGGAACTCTCCGACAAGGTCCGCAGCGTTGGTTTCCTTGAACATATGAACTCGAACAAATGGGCCACTCTTATGGGAGGCCACAAGCGAGGCAAAGGACTTGGTAGAAGATATTTCCAAAGCGTCGAATCCTCAACGAGGGCACAAGAAGCTACTAGGGGCTCCTGGCATCGCTACTAGGAGCAAGGACGCTACTAGGCGCTCCTGGCATCGCTACTAGGAGCAAGGACGCTACTAGTAACAAGAGCATTTGCACCATTTTACACCTGAAGGATCTGGGAGCGTTCTGTACACAGTGTTGCACCGAGGTTTGGGATCATTGCATATGCAGCCAGGCCTTACATAGAATAATATAGATTAATATAGGACAAGATGGGTGTGTAAAACATGTGAAAACCAGCTTTGGCTCACAGGCAAATAATATTTGTGTAAGATGGCACAAGTCATATGACAGGAGAGGAGGCAAAGGTGCCTACAAGGGCAAAAGCAGGGGTCTCGCCTTGGTCTCCAGAATCTTGGTCCGGCCAGACTTCTTTCGTGAGTTCTGACGGTGCCTAGGTGCCGGGCAGCAGCAGCCAGTGGATGAAAAGGTTCAGGTGGCCGGCAGTCAATTGTTTGTTTCTATCATTATCATCCGCAAAGTCTTGGTGATGGATCAATTGTTGATCTCTATATGTAGATTTTGTAATTAGAGTCTAGACTGACATCTCTAGACTTGACCAGAATGTATAGAAACATGGCCAACAGATACTTGCTCGAGTAGTCTATCTCCTCGCAGCTCCATGCTTCTGTTGTCAGGCCTTGGAGGAGGTCGCAGCCAAAATCGGATGTGCATGCAGCTCAGCACAGCTCAGAAGGTCGATTCCCGACATTGCAGACATGCAGCGTCAAATGCAGAACATCTTGACTCGAGGACACTTCCTGGTCGGCAAAGAGGCCAGCCAGTTGCGATTAGGGAAACAGCATCAACCCATCGGGGGGAAGAATGGCACAATCTTGTTGGCACTTGGACACTTGGAGCTGGAACTCGACCACACCTCAGTATTCATTAACCAACCACTGCACTTGCCGGCACAAGACTGCGATTGGGAGAAAAGGCAGAGCATTGGCCCTGAGCCTTTTGGAACGCGTGGTCTTAGCTTTTTTATCGTGTTCTTAGTATTTCTTAGTAAAAGGTAGCCTGAACCACATGTTTGCCACGCGACAACTCTCTCTCTCTCTCTCTGTCTACATATATATATGACAACATACACATATGTATATATATAGTCAATATGTAAAGTTTTGTGGTCAAATACCTTGCACAACAGGGCAAACAGGCATGGGCTTCAAACACTGGTATGGGGGAAGTGTCAACCTGGGAGGTGCTATGGCCAAGTAGAGCATACACACTTCGCAAAAGGCCACTGACGTTTTGTCCTCGGACTTGCAGGTTTGATCACCTCCTGTATCCATGCTGGAGCTTGTCCCCAGAACAGGAGTGTGTCTCACTTTGGTTGGCCTTTTGTTTCCATGCATGTATGCCATGCATCTTCCATGCCCAGTTCCATGCGCTTGGCACTTCTTGAGGAGAAGACGGTGTATGAGATCATGGAGGTGTTCAACCAGGAGTATTCCGTGAGGCCGATTGTATTGATTTGTGCCCAAGTGGTCCACGGGTGTTCATATGTTTTCTAGGATGTCATTGATGTTGGTCATGAAGTGTCCATACGCATCAGTTTCAGTATATTGGGTAAAATGTCTTAGTACTTGTGCAGCTCAGCTGTGCACAAGGCGGAAGGTGCTAACTCGGCGGCTGGATGTCACGATCCAGGCCGAATGTGCAGTCATGCCGACTTCGCATCCTCGCTGCTGAGACTTGCAAAACTTAGGCCTTTTTGTGGTCACCCAAAGCCGACTCCTACATGGAGCAAATTTCTCAGGTTCCGGTTACGCTTCGGCTGGTTGTGCCATGGTTTGTATGCACTTCAATTGTTTTTTTGCGCATGTTCTGTTTGTGGAGGCTATTGCAGCCGTCATGGATTGGCGAGATCATTTGAGTTTCGCTAGCATAGGGTGGGGATTATTTTGCGCAGACAGAAATTTCTGTAAAACAATCAGTTTTCTGTTGCAGGAGCTGGCACATGCTTGCCACTGATGAAAAAACTGTCCAAGAACCTCCAAAGGCACAAGCCAAAGGTGTTGCATATTTGTCATTGATAAACTTCAAGATGCTTGCAGTAATGAAAGCTGAATTCCTTGGAGCTGGTGCAGCCTTCTGCCAGATATCGTCCATCACCGCTCTGAAGTCTGTGGCTGCAACCTCTGTAGACATTCATCGTCGAATCATGTCGAATCAACATCTCTCAATCTGAGAACTTTTTTTTAAAAAAATCTATTCTTTGTAGTAAAGGATACTTTTCTCTTCAAGCTTGAGGTGAAGACCATCATCATCGGTGCAGTGCCTGATCGAGGTGGTGTGCCTGAAGGTCTGGCCTTGCAAGTGGCAATATGAGACAATGTGAGACAACGTGAGGCAATGAGACATGTGTCAAGACACAATAATTGCCTCATATGCCTGTTTCCCTAACAATCTATGAACCGTTTCGACTCGTTTCGACTCGTTTCGTATCATGCAAAGGGCTTTTCAATTCCACCCGAGCCCTTAAGCTAGTAGTGCTCATGAAGCGCCCTACTAGCACCTTAAGCTACTGAGCTTTACGGCCCAACCTCCCCCGGTTGGAAAGAACTGGCGCCTTTTCGTCTGTTTTGCACCACTAAACACTAAAGAGTAGTAGGATAGCGTGTGGAGTTGAAAATCAGCGCAGATTAAATCACTTTCTAAAGATTTACTGTAGAAGCACTACGAAGCGGACGTCTCCATTTGCCCCTCCCTTGTGTTGTGCTGTCTTTGCTTCCAACTTGTTGTTTCCTTTTTTCCCGTTTGCAAATGATTGTTAGGATCGTAAAATTGATGCTCATCTCCTCTTACATCCAACAACCCAACAAAAATAACTAACTAACTATATAATTGTCGTGCAACATGTTGCAGTTCCAGATGTTCTTCTTGGTCAGAATATATTTTATCAGCAGATGCCCTTGGCAGGCTATACTGTGGAGGATATTGCCAAGGATATTGTAAAGGCAAACGTCGCTCTCACCAAGAAAGATCAAGGCGCTCAAGCATGTTTTGCTTAGGGGCTTTGGGTTGTTCCATTTTGTCAGTTTGTGTTTGTTTGTTTGTTTGTTTGCATTCTTTGACCGTTCTTCTTTTCTTTTCTTTTCCAACGTCCATCCCTTCTTGTCGCATTTTACTACAGCTTTTTGCTTCGATTCAGGAGGCGGTGGAAAAGGTGCATCTGACAACGCCTTAGACATTCATGATGAGGGCTTTAATGGCAAGAACTTGAATGATTAATCAGAACATCGTGATGCGTGGACATATGGAGTCACCTCTTCTTACAGTATCTAATTTTGTGATTGTTTTAGCACATGGGTGACTGTGCTCAAGGCGCAGACTGCTGCTGCCATGTCCGCCAAGCGGTGGGTTGGTAAGGGGATGGGTGCAAGTCTCAGTTTTCACCGGATGCAAATCTCAATGTCGCATGGTAACACGATGTCACTGTTGACTGTCACATGTCACTTTGTTGAGAGTCCCTCTTCAGAAACTCAGCTATGCAAAACCCAAGGTTCAGGCGAATCAAGAGACAGTCCGCGAGGTACCTGAGAAACATGGCTTTGCTATGCAACGAATATGCGCTGGTTTACCCCGGTGATTCCGGCAAACAAGTTGCCTTAGATTCAGAAGTTGCAGGCGGTGGTGGTGGTGGAGGAGGCTACTATGGCGGGAAAGGCATAGATGAAAGCTCATGCACAAACACAGAGACACCGCGGCAACAATCGAAGACTTTAGAATCAACAATTTCAAGACAACAGAGTAGGGGGAGAGATGGAGAGAGGGGGAGCTGGTGAAAATCAGATTGTGGGAAGAGTGAGTAAAGCTCTTTCAACAAATCTCAAGCGCGAGGCGGCGATGGTGGTGGGTGCTCCTTGCAAACTGTTCATTTCATCCTAGAGCAGCATAACTTGAAGCAGAACAAATGAGTTTGCAAGATCGACAAAGCACACTCAGATTCACCTTTTATCGCTTGCCTATCTACAATCAATGACACTGCACTGAACTGCATCGGCATATTTTCCTGACACCTACTAGTTCCTGACGCAACTTCATGCTCCATTCTTGAAGGTACTATGGCAAAGGAGGTGGGGGGTGGAGGTGGCTACTACTCTCAAGGCAGCATGGCTGCAAACATCATTCTCACAGACCAAAAATTCGACCGTGCTGAGCTGTGCCTACCAAGGAGGTGGCAAGGGAGGCGGTGGAGGCTGCAGACTTATGTAGCAGCGGAGATGGATCACCTACTGTAATCCCCATCTCTCTCCTCTCCCCCCCCTTACAATGGCCCAACTCCACTTCCCCGAAGCCCTTCTCAATCAAGCACACATCCACCACATCTAACAACAGGTCATGTAGAAGAAGCTCCTGTTATGTCCCGTTGCTTACGCCAACTGTGGCAGAAATCCTGAAGCAATTTCAGATTCACATATTCAACCTAAAGCAGCCATGCCGCTGAGAAGCATTGCCCCTTTGAGGATGAATGAAGGTGTATTCCGTTTCCCCAGTTTGCTTGCTGAATTTCAGTCGGACTTGGTTGATGTCCTAAATTATCGTTTCTCAGTCAAAACCTACATGAGGAGAGAGTTGATTTTTTCCCAAACCTATCAGAATTAGAACAGCTGGTTGCTATGATGCACCCTGAACAAGAGTACAGCGTGCGACTGCACAGGCACCATTCACAGCCTTTTCAGGCATTTGCCTCAAGCTGGACATGCATCCTGATTATACTGTATACATGCCAGAAGATTTTCGCCTCAAACAACTTGTTCACCACTTCATTGCGTGAAAAAAAATAAGCATATTAGGCTGGCTGTCACTAGCCCCTTGCTGGCCTCAAACTCTAGGTCCACTATCACCATGCTGTACTTGCGTCTCAAGTCCCTCCGACTTTCTTTTGGGGTCTTGTGGCTGGTTGTCCCACTGCCGCTGTTTTGATCTAGAGATTTGCATCAATCTCTTCTATTCGGGTCTCTTCGCGACGAAAACCGCCCGCACCAGTGGCTCTCAGAAAGAGGGTAAAAGAATTCTCTAGAAGCAATCTATTTTTGGACCATCTGACAAATTGGTTGGTTATGCCTTACTTGCAATTTGCAAGCATTGTTTAATTATTGTTCCATCCCTTGAAATTGTACATTTTGAAGGTGGTATAAATAGAGTGATTTATATACAATAGACATCAATAGACAATAGACTATACAATGTGCATGATCGAGACAAGACCTAGAGATGAACGCAGTATGAAGTGGACGAAAAACAATTAAGTATCTATAATCACTCTATTTTTGGACCCTCTTACAAATTGCTTAGTTATGTCTTACTTGCAACTTGCAAGCATCATTGGGTATATTCTTCGACCTCCTTGAAATTGTCGATTTCCCAGGGGTCCAAATTATTCCCAACAATGCCTGCAAGTGGACCCCCCTGAAAATCCCTGAAAAATGTACCAGTTCAATTGGGTCGAAGAAATAAACTATACAATGTGCGTGATTGCGTGATCACGACCAGACTTAGAGATGAATGCGTGAAGTGGATGAATAGATTAAGAGAAGTCTCTAAAGTCCCAATATTTCGACCCCCTTATAATTTGTATAGGAGTTGTTTACAAGCCCTGTTGGATACATTCTTCGACCCCTTGAAATTGTACTTTTTTTCAGGGTGAACAAATTACTGTATATATCTTATTTGTATATCAATGTGCAGGCACTTTGCGCGAAAACTGCCACCAGCCACCAGCTAATGCATACGATTCGATAAAAGCTGAAGAATTGCAACCAGTTGATGCATATGACGCATTCATGAAAGTATGTAAAACATAGACTGTTGAGACGAGTCGTTTGATGGCCTTTCACGGGCCTGGTGATGCAAATGATGCGATGATGATAAATATTGTCAGACTTACATGGATTGAATGTTTTCTCCCACTGGCATGCCTCTCCCAGACACACCTCATGATGCAGGACACGCATTGTTGTTCTCAAACGAAAATGACCTCCCCACTAGCTAACACTACATGGCGATGAATGCGCTATTGAAAGTGTAACGCCCCTCAGCACCTTCGGTGCGGGCGAATTTAGACTTCAACGTCAATATGGCAATGTCCGTGTTTTCTGTTTTCTCTCTTCTTTTCCTGGAGGCTACTACTCACAGAAAGGAGGTGGCGGTGGTGGCGTTCACAGGGGGACGGAGGGGGTGGAGGCTACTACTCACAGGGTGGTGCGGGAGGAGGCACGCTTCACCCAAGGTGATGCGAGAAGCTAGTGAGGCATTGAAGCAATGTTATGCATCCGTCAAGGTGGCTTCTATGCACAGGGTGGCGGCGGCGGTGGTGCGCTTCCTCAGTTTACCCAGTAATTACACGCATTCGGAGCAAACTAGATTCCATGCAAAAGCATTTATCAAAGAGATCTATTTGCAAATCAATGTATCAGGAGGATACTATGCGCAAGGTGGAGGAGGTGGTGGAGGGGGAGGACAGCTGGAAGAGCCTCACACAGAGTGCCAAGTGCCGTAGATTGCTGGGTTTTTCTAGGATACTATGGTGGCAAAGGTGGCGGAGGAGGAGGCCCAGGATTCTCAAGCAAGTTGTTTGTCATACACCTTTTCATATTGTAGAGGCTTTTGTTTTTTTCAATTCACTCTCTGTTTGCTTTGCAAAACTTGTCAGTGAGTATATATATAGAACGAACACTTGTCAAGATCTTGCAGGTTTTGGTGGACGGCAGCAGGATAGACCACCGACCTCAAAGGGATGGACGAAAGGAGGAGGTGGTTGGTGAGTCAAAAGGACGAGGTAGATCTGTTCATCGCGGAAACGGTTCACTGTATATAGACATTGCTATTGCGGCGCAAGCGTCGTCATTGGCAAAGACCTCAAGTTAATCCCTCCCAGCCTCGTGCTGAGTTAAGAGCAATGCTTCTTGCGTTGTGAAAGAGGGTGCCACATTGTGACGTGCTTCACATTTCTGGGTATTATGATCGCATTCCGTTGCTTGGTGAAGTTTGCTGCATGTCCTGGTCCGCCACACTTTTCTCTGGTCCTGTGCAGCCTTCCCGCTGCAAAGTTGCTTGGCTTTTGAAAGATATATTTTGCGACTTCAAACAAGCAACAAATGTGACAACAGCATAAACAGCATGCAGAGCAGTTTGAGTGTTTCGCTTGTTAATTTTTTAATACAGGGTCACCAATCACTTTTTCAGGACTGCAGCACCAGGTGTGGAGGCTTGTGAGCGGCTTCGGTCCCTCGGCTGCCTGAATTTACTTCTAATCATTTTGGTGTTGGCTACCAGCATTTTTGGCTGCCAAGGTGCTGCTAGCCAGAGATGGGTTCAAAGCAAAC